TTTCTTTTCTTTTCTTTTCTTTTCTTTTCTTTTCTTTTCTTTTCTTTTCTTTTCTTTTCTTTTCTTTTCTATTCTATTCTATTCTATTCTATTCTATTCCATTCCATTCCATTCCATTCTTACAGACTTCAATTCCTGCCATAATTTTCTTTCTTGAGCTCTGCTCGGTTCAAAGTCTTAGCAATGGAACTCATTTCCAGGTGGAACCCAGCACCAACTTTATAATTGGCAAAAACCTCCTTTTCTACGATTTCATTTTACTCAGAACAAAGCTAAAATACAAAACTAAATAAAACTCCCAAGAAAACACAAAAACCTCTTTCTCTCTTCTTCGCACACACTTTTAGACTTCTCTTTCTGTAGCTGTGGCCCCGGCAAATGAAGCAGAATGACAATGTTTAACACGACAATTTTGCGAGAGGCCACAAAAAAACCGACGACCAAGACTGTCGTTTTAAGAACAGGCTTTTGCAAGGTCAGGATTAACACAAATAAATATATACAGTATATCCACACACACACACACCCTGTTCAATTTCTTCCCAAATCCAATTTAAATCATTCTCCCCAAGTCTAATCTATATCCATAATTATATCATTTGGTACAACAAGCTTGGGAGCGGTTTCCCACAATTTATGTAGATGAAAATTCATGGGTGCCCTACTACCGATTCTGTATTATGAAGATTGATTAAGACAGCTGATGCGGTGATGAAAAGAGGGTGCATTTACTCTTGCAATTAATTAGGCATTCAGACACAACAATAACCAATAACCAACGCTGAGCCGGCATTCTTGGCTTATGGGTGGCATGTCCTCGGCTGCTTTGACAAGGATCCTGGCTTGATGGGAAGGGCCGTAAAAAAGGGAACATGGAGGTGGAAGGGACCCCTGGAGGTCCTCTAGTCTATCCCCCTGCTTGAGCAGGAGAGCCTTTGTCATTTCAGACCAACAGTTGTCCAATCTTTCTTTTTTTTTTTTTGAAGACCTCCAATGATGGAGCACCCACCACTTCTGAAGGAAGTCGATCCATTAGTTAATTAGCAGAAGAAGCGGAAAATAGAGTGGGAAGGTACCTTGGAGGTCATCTAGCCCAACCCCCTGCTCGAGCAGGAGACCTATGCCATTTCAGCTAAATGATGGTCCAGCCTCTTTTTGGAAGCCTCTGATGATGGAGTCCCCACCACTTCTGAAGGAAGTCGATCCATTAGTTAATTAGCAGAAGAAGCGGAAAATAGAGTGGGAAGGTACCTTGGAGGTCATCTAGCCCAACCCCCTGCTCGAGCAGGAGACCTATGCCATTTCAGCTAAATGATGGTCCAGCCTCTTTTTGAAAGCCTCTGATGATGGGTCACCCACAGCTTCTGGACGCAAGTTGTTCCACTGATTGATTGTCAGGACAATTTCTCCTTAGTTCTAGATTGCTAATTAACTAATGGATCGACTTCCTTCAGAAGTGGTGGGTACTCCATCATCAGAGGCTTCCAAAAAGAGGCTGGACCATCATTTAGCTGAAATGGCATAGGTCTCCTGCTCGAGCAGGGGGTTGGGCTAGATGACCTCCAAGTTCCCTTCCCACTCTATTTTCCGGTTCTTCTGCTAATTAACTAATGGATCGACTTCCTTCAGAAGTGGTGGGTACTCCATCATCAGAGGCTTCCAAAAAGAGGCTGGACCATCATTTAGCTGAAATGGCATAGGTCTCCTGCTCGAGCAGG